CCCCCGGCCGGGGCCCCGTTAGCGGCTGTCCCGCAGCTCCACCACCCTGGCGCCGCCGGGCGCCCACTGTGCACTGGGCGGCCACAGCCTGGTGACACCTGCTGTCCGCAGCGAGGAACCTGGACTTGCGGACTCGCGGCCGGACCCCGCACCACGTGCCAACAGCGCCCCGGTGCGGGAGGCCGGGCCGAGCCCAGCGAGCCTGTCATTGGAAGGGACTTGACCTTCCATTTATTGGGTTTTCATTCAAGGGGACGTTTCACCCCGCAGGGCCAAACTGCGTGGGCTGGAACTCTAACTTGGACTGAGACAGTTTGCTTAGTCACTGAGTGCCCCAGTTTAGTCATCTGCAAAATGGGAATGAAATATTAACTAGATCATCCACTTCATACGAAGATGTGGGAAAAGAAAAATGAAGGGATCCTTTTAGTCGTGCATTGCACCATTTAACATTGTGCTAGAAGTTTCCCATAATAAACAGGATAGTTAAAAAGCCAGTTGTAAAAAAAACAGTTATTTGCAGATAATACTGAAACGGAGCAAGGACCACCCTAATGATTTCTTAAGGTTCTTGAAATATAAGGTCCATTTCCATTGTAATGGCCCAGAGTAAGGACAAAGGCTTCAGACTTGGATTATGATAATGAAACAACATTGACCATAAAGAAGGGCCATTTGACCTCTAAAACGCTCACTTAAAGGCAAGACGGAAGTTTTCATTTCAATATGTAAGACGTTTTGTAGGATGGAAACTGCAAGCGGTGAGCTCAAAGACCCCAGGGCTGAATGGCTCCAGAAACCTGAAGAAAATATTGATTATCTAAGGCCTCACCAATCAAGAATGCCCATGAGATGATCACGCCCTCTTGAACCAATCAGTGAACCAATCCTGCACCTGGGAACTCTGCCCTTAATTTTGTCCTTAAAAACGCATGTAGGGAACATCCCTGGGAGACTGGGTCTTTTCAGCATGAGCTGCCCGCTCTCCTTACTTTGCAATAAGGCTGTACTTTCCTTCATCACACCGTGTACCTATAGTTTGATTTTATAGCGCTAGGGTGAGCGAATCTAGTTTGAGTTCAGTAACAATACGTGTGTCTATGCCTTCTTAAATACCAAGAAAAAGAAACTAAAGTAGAGCACATGATTATGATGTGGGAGACAGGGACCCTATAAATATAGTTAGGATATGAGCCTAAAATGGAATCACAAAATGGCTGTTTTGAGATAGAGGCAGAGGTGACTCGGTGATTGACCTAGGCAGCATGACCTAGACCTAAACCAGGATTTTTCCAGGCCCCGCCACATTCCAGGAAGAAGATAAGAAAATGGTTTTCAAGGCCCATAGCTTCTAGCCAATATCTCCTGACCTTGGTACCTACTCCAAAATTAGGAGAATAACTGGACCCACCCAGCACACACCCCTTTGGACCAGGAGGGGCATGCATGCACAAGCCCCACCTAGAATAAATCCTGACAAAGCCCTTCCTGACCCAAATAAAAACCCCCTCACCACAGTTCTTCTTGGAAACCCATTTTTTCAGAGACTTTTCCCTTCTTGGGAACTCTTTTCTCTGCCCCTCTCTTTTAGGAAATTCCCTGCTTTGTTATACCTACTCTGTGTCCATGACTCTAATTCTTCCAGAGCGTGGGACAAAAACCCGTGTCACACTGCAAGTGTGGGCCCGATCACCCTGCACCCACGCGTTCCCTCATCAATTAGACAAAAGACCTGATACATCAAAGCAATTGACATTGAAACCAAGCAGGAGTCCCCTAATGTATTTTCTACGGTTCTTGAAATGTAAGTCCGCGTCCATTGTAATGGCCCAGAGTAAGGGGTAAGTCTTCTGACTTTGGTAGTGATAACCAAACAACACTGACCATGAATAAGGGCCATTTGACCTCTAAAACTCTCACTTAAAGGAAAGATGAGGTTTCCTTTCAATATATAAGATGTTTTGTAGGCTGGAAACTGCTTGCTGCGAGCTCAAAGACCCCAGGCTTGAATGGCTCCAGAAACCTGAAGAAAAAATTGATGATCTAAGGTCTCACCAATCAAGATTGCCCATGAGATGGAGATGATCACACCCTCTTGAACCAATCACTGAACTGATCATGCACCTGGGAACTCTGCCCCTAATTTTGTCCTTAAAAATGCATGTGGGGAACATCTTGGGGAGACCGGGTCTTTTCAGCATGAGCTGCCCACTTTCTTGCTTTGTGTTTTGCAATAAAGCTGCACTTTCCTTCATCAGACCACGTGACTGGTTTGGTTTTATAGCACTTGGGCGAGTGAGCCTGATTTGGGTTCAGTAACAATATGAAGTTACTAGAAAATGACTGAACTAGCTATGTGCAAGGCAGAATGAAAACAATCTCAAAACTTTCTGAGAATCGTGAAAAAACAATTAAATAAATGGAAGCATGCACCATCTGCCTGGATTGAAAGCTTAATATTTTCATTTTCACCATACATTTTATACCATCCTGATAAAAATACCAAGTAACCCTAAAGTTCTTTTCGAAGAGCAAAAGAAAGTGCAGGCAAAAAGATTTGAGTAAGATGAGTCGGAGAGTGATCTGACCTACTTATATTAAAATACATATATTTTTTTTTGAGAGGTTTTCGCTATAGGGCGCGTACGCTCACCAGACAGACAGAGACATAGAGACAGAAAGCGAGAAATCACCCCCCAGAGGGGATGGTCACGCCGCAATCCCTTCTCCTCCATTCTCCTCTCGGGATCTTGGGCACGCACACACACGCGCCTCAGTAAGGGAGGGATGGATTATGAAAACAAAGATGTATTTAAAGAAAATGTAGGTAAATATTTATATAACCTTGGGGTAGAGAAGATTTATCTAAGCATGAACAAAATAAAAGGACAGAAAATAATCATAACTACAGAAGAAACAGTAGCACCCACCATGGTTTGAACACTTACCGTTTTCTAGCTCTGGGATGCATATTTTACATGCATTGTCTTGCATGGCATGTTAACAGCCCTACAAGGACAGGCATTGCTAAAGACCCTTGTCATGGAAGAAAGCATAGTACTGAGAGATTAAGTAATGCACCAGAGTAAAGAAGCCAGTAATGTGTGGGGGCAGGATGTGACCTTTGGTCCTTCTGACTGCAAAGCAATGAACCTTTACTAAGTGATGGTGTGTCTTTCTTTTCTTTTTTTTAAGGTTTTTGCCATAGGGTGCGTGTGCTCTACAGAGAGACAGAGAAAGAGACAATGAGAAGGAAAGCAAGAAATCATTCCCCAAGACAGATGGTCATGCTGCAATCCCTTCTCCTCCATTCTCTTCCTGGGATTTTTGGGTATGCATACACAGGCACCTGGCATGAGTTTCAAGCTGCCAGGTGCAGGACTCAAACCACAGTCAGCCATGTGAGAGTCCAGTGCTTTTACCACCATGCCACCTGCTGGCCCCAATGTGTTAGTGTTTCTCAGTTGTGGCAGATTTGACAATAGAAAAATTCTAGCTACTACATAAAAAAAACAAACAAACAAACAAACAAAAAAACAAAAAAAAAACACCATAAAAAACAGATAAACTGGGAAACAATTGGTGTCGTACCTAAAAGAAAAAGCACTAATGATCTTAATTATATAAAGAATTTTTAAATAAATAAGAAAAAGCAATAGACATATTTAAATATTTTTACGTAAGCAATGTAAAATCTAAAAATTTATATGTGACCTTTAGGAAAAAAATATTAAAACTAGCAGTAAGTTACTATCCCAGGTATCACTTTTGAAAAGATTAAAAGTAGTAGTATCCAGGGACCAGCAGTTAGCATAATGACTGTGTCGCCGAACTCCCATGTAACTGACCACGGTTCAGGTCCCGGATCTGGTGATTTAAACTCATGCCAGGCACGTGTGCGTGCATGCCCAAGATCTTGAGAGGAGAATGGAGGAGAAAGGATTGCGGTGTGGCCATTCCCCCAGGAGGAGGGGGTGATTTCTCACTTTCTATCTCTCTGTCGTCTCGGTCTTTCTGATGAGTGCATGTGCCCTGAAAAAAAAACCCCTAAAAAAAAAAAAAAAAAATAGTAGTATCCAGCCAGCAGGTGGTGTGGTATCTAAGACACTAGATTCTCACAAGGTCAACGATGGTTTGAGTCCCTGACCCAGCAGCCTGAAAATCATGCCAGCCATGTATGCCTGCGGGCCCATCACCCAAGAGAAGAACAGAGGAGAAGAGATTACCCATGGCCCTACTCCCTTGGGTGTGATTTCTCACTTTCCCTCTGTCTCTCTCTGGCGAGCACATGTACCCTATGACAAAAATCTAAAAAACAAAACAGAAACAATGAAAAAGAACCAAATAGAAATTCTAGAACTGAAAAAGAAAATATAAATTCTGGAATTAAATATTCATGGATGGACTTAGTAACCAAATGACATAACAGAGGAAAGAGTAGAAGCTCTATACTTAAAGAAAAATCAATAGAAATGAACCAGTGTGAAAAACAGAAAATAATTTTTTTAACAAGCAAAACTTCTAATATCTATTAGATTACAACAACTGGAATATTAGCTGTATTTCAAGAAGTTACTTTTCTCATTTTAGGAAAGATATAAATTATACATACAAGATGCTAAATGAACACCAAGCAGAACAGAAAATAACCATACTAAGGCCCATCCTAGTCACAGTACTCAAAGCTAAAGGTAAAAATCAGTAAGAGAAAAGGAACATAGTGCATATTGGTGACTAATAAACCCAACTGATAGCTGAATTCTCACCAGAAACTATATTTTTGGTTTTAAACCCAACTGATAGCTGAATTCTCACCAGAAGTTT